GCACTGATCTGGGTGGTGAGGTGGACCATTCAGAAGGGTAAGCCATCTTGGAGAGACCTGGACAGGCTGGAAGGGTGGGCTATCAAGAACAGTATGAATATTAACAATGACAAGTGAAAAATCCTGCCCCTGGGACAGAATACCGAAGCATGCAGTACAGGTGAGATCTGCATGGCCGGGGAGCAGCCTTGCTGGAAGGGACCTGGGGGCCTGATGAACAACAAGCTGAACACGAGTCAACAGTGTGCTGCTGCAGGAATGAAGGTGGATCAGATCCTGGGCTGTATCCACAGAGACATTACTAGCTGAGATGGAGATGTGATCATCCTACTCTGCTCAGTGCCTGTGAGGCTGCACTTGGAGTGTTGTGTCCAGTTCTGGCCTCCATAATTCAGGAAAGATGTGGACAGACTGGAGAGGATCCAAAAGAGGGCTACAAAGATGATCAAAGGGCTGGAGAATCTGCCCTATGAGAAAGGATTGAAGGAGGCTCATCTCCCTGGAGAAGAGAAGGCTTGAGGGGAACTTCATCACAGGATTCCAGTATTTCAAGGGTGGCTACAAAGAGGATGGAGCCTCTCTCTTCACAGGGAGCCATGTGGGAAAAAACAAGGGGCAGCAGATACAAGTTGTACTGCAAGAGGTTTAATCTCAGTATAAGAAAGAAATTTTTATATTGAGAACAATCATTCCCTGGAACAACCTCCCTAGAGATGAGGTAGAGTCCTTATCACTGGAGGTTTTAAAGATGCAATTGAACAGAGTGCTTGATAATTTGTCTAGGTTCCCTTTCCCATGTAAGGTTGCACTAGATGATCTTTTGAGGTCCCTTCCAACCTTGGCTGTTGAATGATTCTGAGATTGTTTCTACAAGTAAAGTGTTTTGTGACCTTGCATTCTAATGAGTGGCAATCTCTCTTCCCCTCCTCTCTGTCCTGCTCCCTTTGAGGAAGGACTGCCTCAACATGGATCAGCATTACTGCAGTTCCTACCCATGAAGCCCGTGGCCAACACGTGGCCAACCCAGGAGGACTGTAATGAGATTATTGTTTTTTCTTGGTTGAAGTGGCCCCCCCAGCAAACTTTTGAATCATTAGCCTGGCCTGACGGGTACTGACAGTGGGTCGGGGGCACTGCCCAGTCATTTCACTTCATTTCCTACCCATGATTTTCTTTGAAATGACAAGCTTTTCATAAATGAAACTGTAAAGAACGAAGTGAAGAAAAGTAGAAATGAAATTCAGAACACAGTCCGGACTCCAACATCCACTAATTGATTTGGTTTCTTTTTCACTAGATCTAGAGATCAATTTTAATTCTCCATTTTAATTACTAGTTTTTGTAGATCTCTTTAGAGTGCTAATAATATGCTGTGAACTCTGGCAATGCTAGGAAGCATTTTAAAAAACTTAAAAGACTGCTCATTCTACAAGAAGCTGTGTGGTCTGGCTCTGTTCCCAAACAAGTTCTGTTACTTGTCCTGAGACACACAGTCAGAAACGTACGTTTGTCTTGATTACTCAAAATATAGCTCACTAATTAGTTGATGTCAGTTCTGGTTTGGCAGTTTGGCAGTGAGAAATGGTTTTTTTGCATAAATTCAGTTGATTCAGATCATGAGAGGAAGCTTAGTTGTTCACCTCAGGTACAAAACCGGAGTTATCTAGGCTTTACTGATTAAAGGAAACCATCCATATGCTTAATCTCTTTATATGCAGTTAATTACTGCCATATGGAAAGAAATCTTACATCATTCCTCATAGGTATACTATCCAGTACTGCAGGCTGAGCAGACCTAGGAATTTATTTTAATTGTTAATGGTAGGTTTAATACCTCTTACAAACTGGAAATGCCAGGAAATAATTGGTATCTCAGTTCATGGGAGTGTTTATCATTTAGATGGCCCTCACACAAACTATAAACAGTCTAAATACTAATGCTGGAAAGACCAATTTACATCAGTACTTAATGTTAGTCTATACTTAGCTCTTCCTTGTGTTTCCCATGAGGGCAATTTCACAGTGAGAGCAGCAGGAATGAGCGCTGCTCATGGCAAGCCATTAGAAGTACTTTTTTAAAATTTGAAAACAGAATAAAATATTATTTGTAGGAAGTCTTAAATTATGGAAACATCTAGAGCATTTTACCTGTGCTTGGACTCCTATTGTTTGAGTATATATACAGTACTGAATTGGTGCTGGTACTGCTATGGGGAAGTGGCTTAAAAAATATCACACTGTTCTACATTAGTTCACCAGCTACTCCAAGAAGTCTGTAGCAATGGATGAGGGTGTTGTCATTGCTGGTAGCTGGATTTGAAATAGCCCTTTCAAATAAAACCAGGGGCTAATTTTAACATCTGGTTATTGGTGAGATAAGATGCTTCATGTTCTAGAGACTACAACATTGCTTGGCTGCTGTGATCAATTGGTTATTTTATATATTATGATAATAATTATGCACAGAAAGGTAATATAAATGTACTAAATATATTGGTTAGTTTAGTGCAGGCTCGGGACCTTAAATCATCTCACCTTCTAAGTCACTGCTTTTTGCTCATGCAGGAAATCATCAAGGATTTGAGGAAAGTAATGCTTTTAATTGGCACTTATTTCACTTGCTCAGAAAGGTCTTTTTACATGTAGTTCACTAAACCTGTTGGCTCTGAGATATTCTGAAGCCCCGTGTGCTTGGTACTCATGCTGATAATGGGCAGTATCAGACCTGAATGAATTTATAATCTTATTGAAGGCATAGGTTTCCTCTGTAGGAAACCTTGTGTGTTGCTATTTAGCTGTATCTATCTTTATCTGGGAGGAAACTGGGAATATCAGGTTTCCAGTATAGGTCCTTTGTTGCATTAATCTTATAATTTCACTGCTGACTTTTAGATGTTGGATATGCTCTTTGGTGCTGCTGCTAGGTCTGATGAACCCCTCACTGCTGCACATTTAGGTTTGCAGTAGACAACTCTGGGTTTGGGATGTGGTGAGAAGGCTGCAATCTCAACTGTAAGCAGGTATGTTCTGCTTGGTGCAGCAGTCCGTATGGCAACTGACACACCGGAACCAAGGAGGGATGTCTGAAATTTCCTTCCAGTAGAGGGAATGGGAGCTGGGAGGAATGGCTTAGAGGGCATACAGACAAAGACTCAAAGGAGCACTCTGGAAGGACTTCCTTGGTAATTCTTTGCAGGTTGCCCCAGGATACAACCATGGAGAGAAGGACACATCGCAGAGATGGAAATTAAATTGAGATTGTTGCCCACATTTGATTATGAATAACAGTAGCATATGTTTTTCACAACTAGGATTGGTTTCACTTCCAAATATATACTACTGCAGCAAGACTTGTCGTGTATTTTCACAGAATTGCAGAATGGTTGAGGTTGGAGGAGAGAAGGACTAGAATGGTAGGGATTAGGTATTCTTTGTCCTTNTTTTTTTTTTTTTTTTTTTTTTAATGGAGCAGTGGCTCTGCATACAACAAAGCCAAATAAATAGATTCCTTGCCAAATCACTTACCACAGAATTATTTTTAAAAATAGGGATTGCTTTCTCACATTGTCCTTTAATGAAAGAGTCAGTAGCAGCATATCACAGCTTTGTGCATAGCATACGGTTACAAGGGTTGAACACCAATGTCTTCTAGAGTAACAACAGGGGATGCTGAGATCACTTCTTGTTGAATCTGTCAGCTCTCAGTGCTGTCTCCTAAGCTGAGACTGATTCAACCTGTTAAGTGAGAATTTAGTCTGGGAACCACTGCCTTCAGTTTTACCTCTTAGAATTGTTTCAGTGCATCTCGCAGTGTTCTTTCAGTCCTCTTCAATTTTTTTTCTCCCATTCCTGAAGCCATGACCCTTGTGGTATAACTGTTGTGAGTCACACAGCTAGAAAAGCAAACAAGAGTGCTGTGGTCTGTGCATGACCATGGAGGTCATGGGTTGAGGAATGGGAAATTTATTCACTCCAGAACTTGTTTACTGCAGATTTGATGATCCACAAAGATTTACGAAATAATGCTTTTTATAGTACTGCCTATAGCAGCACCTACGTTCTTCTTTCTTTTAAGTAACAATGATGGCTGGACTTCCCTCAGGCAGCTCATGGGTCCCAACTAGCCCTGTGTGAGAGGTGGGGACAGGTAGCATGCATGCAAGCTCTGAGCATTAGCAATCTATGGGCTGTGACTGCTTTTATCAAAGAACTGGTCCAGTTTCATTGCTGCCATCTACTGAAACTTGAGTTTTCCACGTCAGTGAGCAGACTAGTGGGAAGCAGAGTTTTGCAGATGAGGTCTGAAATGCCACAGTATTGATAAGTTGTCCCCCCAACCCCTCCCCCAAAGAGGACTTCCAAAACGGGTGTATGTTTCTTTATTTTGTTACTTGAAGTTCAGCTTCCTGTGCAGCATTAGTGGTCCTAACTAATACTCTTTCTGTAGCTATTAATTCCTTCCCTGCTGATATATTTGGAACATGTCTCTGATATAGCTCTTCCTGGTACCTTCTGTTTTCTGAGCAGTAATGCATGAATATGTTTAGCTTTTCTGTGTTGTCTTTAGTACAAAAACAAATGTTCTTTCTTTGTGATAATGAAAACTTCTGTATGTACTTCAGAAAAGCCTTATAATGTAATAGTTTGGGGGGAAGAGTGATCTCATTTGCTAAATTTAATTTGAAAAATGTTTATTACCAAAAAAAGCCTTCTTTTCTAATACTGGTTAAATGCTGTAGAAATTGCAGGGTTCACTATGTACTTGGTCAGAAGGCAAAGCATATTTGTTCCTATAACTAATATGTCATATACTCATAGAATAAAAGCACTCCATAGTCTACTTTGATATGTTATATATAGGACTAACTGGGCACCAATGAAATATGAAATAGGAATTGTATGATGTCCTCAATGACCAATTCTTTTTATTCTTTTTCTTCTAAGGCTTGTATGATTTTACACTTGTTTAAAAAATGTCTTTTCCCCTTCCCCTCTTAAAGGTAGAGACCTGTGGGTTCTTGTTCTGGGAAGGTTTCCAACCCATCATAAGATTGGCATTCCAGAGTTCAAGTATGTTGCTAATATGCATGGGGATGAGGTACGTTTCAATTTTTGCAATGTCATTTATACCAAATACACTTACCAGGGGTTTAGAGTGAACTTTTCTCTGGCTTGTGCTACTTATTATTGAGGTATGTCATAACTCAAAGAGGACATAATATGTGTGTATTTATTGAGGAGTTTTAAGAATAAAGTTCCCTTGTTTTGGTGGAAAGGCTTTAGCAGACCTAACATCATAGTGAAGAGTCCTACAATCCTAAATCCAAGACCTCTCTTAAGCAGAAAGCTTTGTCTTCTGCAAGTGATAAACCCCAGAGGCTTTAACTTTCCTGTTGGTGAGTCAGATTCAGTAGTTTGCTTGTACATTATTATTGCTTAGGCATGGAATATGATAGAACTCTTAAAATACATCCTTAGATTAAATAATAATTGCTGTGAAGCATCATATTATTTATTTTAGGCAGAACATTTATCTTGGAAACCTTAAGCTAGGAACACCTAAATTCGCCTGAGCTAACACAGTGAATACAAAACAAAAAGCAATTCCAAAGCAATTAACTTGCTCTGGGAAGAATGCCCACTTATTAATGATAAATAAGAAAATGGTGATTATAAGCCTTCCTGGTGCAGTACATGAATCTGGATCAGAAAGAATCAAAGCTTCACTCTTCTCTATAGTACTTTCTTGCTTTCTATTTCCCTTATTCTTTAGCTTTACCTGCTTATATTAGTCATGTTCAGGATAAGTTTTCACTATGCAATATATTTTTATGCAGTCTTCATGTGAGGGTTAAATAATTTAGCAGGAGTGTATGTGTATATATATATATATGCTAGTCTGTGAATTCCCAAAACTAAGAAAAATACGTGTAGTAGGAAGTGCATCCTGTGTAAAGGGCAATGTATCACAAGTTATTACTATTAACAATACTGTGTGGGAGCACTTGCATGCCTACAGGCACTCGTGACATTTTGTGCCAAGAATTTTCCCCAAGTTAGACGAGTTTCACCTTGTTTGACAGTGGCTATGCTCAAAGTGCTGCTGGAAATTTGACTGATTTGGAATTTAACTCTGTGTGGGAAGAAGCTGATTCATGGCTTCAAATGTGTTACTGGATGCCCAAGACAGGGTTTGCAGCTCCTGAAACCTGTTTTGTGTCAGCAGGGGAGTACCTGGTGCCCCATCTGAGGGTCCGTATGACAGTCACTGCAGACTGCTGATGGGAATTGCAAACCTATGGCTATAGATCACTTAGATTTGATGGGAAGGAGGTGGAGAGCAAGGTATGATCTCATCCAGCATGGCATGACTGTCATATCCAATGTTGCTGCACTGCAAAAGGCCACATATATTGAAGCCTCCACAACGAAGCACTTGTGCCATTATCCCTGCCCACCTGGATAGATAGAAACAAACACCGTTTCCATAGGGTTGGAATTTGCTGCAGATTGGCAACTCAGATCACTGCCTAGGATCCAAGTTTTTTATTGTCTTCATGAGGAAATGAGGCAGGATTTTGTTTTAGAATCAGACACAGTGCCAGAGAGTCTGAGCAGGGTTGATCCTTGAGATGCCTGGGTACCACATTACACTGAATGGCGTGCTACGTTCTTGCTTGTTCCCTAGACCAAGCATGCACCTAGGGAACATTCTGGAAATAGAGATATTCTTTTTTGCAGGCCCTCATGATAATCTTTACCTAATGGGTTTTTTTAATGTATACATATAATGCACAGTTGGTGTTTGTTTTTTATCTGATCGTAAATGTATTTCAGATGTCAGGAAATGAATTCTTCATATAGAGAGGCATTGGAGAATTTGAATTTTTTTTTTCCCATAATCTCAGATTCTGCTGGATAGTCACTGGGGATAGATTCAACTACTCCCTCAATATATTAAGCAGATAAGTTTTGCCCTAATTGTATGACAAGCTTCAATTTGTGTGCCAGAGTCTTTCATAAATTCAAATTGTGGGATTATGGCTTCATTTGATCCAGTCAAATTTTTTGTGCTTCAGTGACACTTTCCATAAATGATACAAAATGAGAGAAGTTCTGTTCTCAAGTGTTGTTTGGTCATGCTGCCCTTCTACCCTGTCGTGATCACACAAATGATACTTAACTTTGAGTTAGCCGGCCATCTGCTCCTAAAACATAAAAGTTGGGAAGGATCCTGAATTGCATGTGTGTGGGCTGTTCACACATGCTGCTGGAAGAAAATCTAGGTTATTTGGAGAGTTGCCCAATAGGGAAGTTCTAATAAAATAATGTGAGTACACAATTCTAGGAAAAAAGTTGTTTTTTCAGACCTGGCTGATTTTTTTCTTAATGCTGTGAGATGTAACCAGCCAAGATTTAAAAGACTTGCTTTTATGGTCATCATTGCCAAACAGAGTGAACTTTTGCCCCAGATTCATAAAGAGACAATAAAAGACTCCTCCTGTTCTTTGTGTGATTGTATGAAGTTGGACACCATCTTTAGGAGTACTTTTTGTTTAACTCAAACCAGCTTAAAACTGATTTAAACTGACTCATCAAAATGGCACTAATAGACTGCACAAAATGCATAAGCCTGTGAAATGTTAATAGAGACTGCACTGGGGAAGGTGAGGGAGAGTTTGCCTGCTGCTCTGGGGCAGCTCCTATTCTAAATTAGGCAGCAGCTTCTCTTGTCCCAGCCTCATACTCTGACTTGAAAGATCTTCTCTTTCTCAGCCTGTACACTCACACATTCCTCCCTGGGGAAGAACTGATTCCATTTAACATTGTCCACAACCAATCCCCTAAAGTCATAAATGGAGTAGAACTGTCACCTTTGTACCAGCTGTGCCAGTGACTTGAGTCCCTTCTATACAACTGAACCATAGGATCTAACTGGAAGGCTGTTCCTAAACCAGGTGTATCACAGCAGGGAAATCCTTTAAGAAGAAGCATGTCTGTCTCAACAAACCGTAAACTACCTGTGTGTTTTTGCTTGTTCCCTTCAATGTATTGAATATATGTGGGTTTCTTACCTTTCTGCAGCTACAGTGTAACTGGGCCATCACAAGATAACATCTTTCTCAGGATGGCAAAGCTGACACCAATCCTTTTCTCCTAAAGCATCCACTTCTGATCGCTTTATTTTCTTAGTGTAATAGTATTTTGCCTCTTTCATTATGTGAAACTGAGCCTGAACTGATAGGTCTGAGTTAAACTACATGAAAGGATGTGTTTGTCTTGCTGGCTTGTCTTGTGAAATAAGTTAAAGTACCTATATCCTATTTTCCGTGTCATCATAGACATAGTCATATCCACAATACGGTTTCCTGAGATATGGCATGATGTAAGATTTTTGAGACATTAGGGCTTAGGTGAGTAAGGACTGGAGTAGTTTTATTTGTAATCAGTTTAACTGAGACTTAAAAAAACGTAAACAACAAATAATGACAGCACTAATTCTTGTACAGAATTTCTCACTCCCTATTTCCAAGAAAATAAATGGAAGCTACATTTACACTATCAAGATACCGCTATGGAAAAAAAGGCTTGTTTTTTTTTTATCACCTAGTTGCACAAAAACAATTATGCTATAAGGAATTTTCAGCACATATTCCTATGTCCTTAGTACTATGCAATATATTATGGAAGTGGTGCGCAGGGAAATAATACGTGCTCTAGAAAATAAAAAAACATTTATTAAAAAAAAAAATTGCATTGTGAACTATTTTCCACCTGACTTCAGTATCAGCTGATGTAATGTTATGAAGGTCAGAAGCACCAGAGGTTTCAAAATTCAAAGCAATCAAATCTCAGTGCTAACAACAGACTTTAAAAAAAGCTGGATCCTGCTGAGATCTGTTTCAATGCAGTTCAGCACTGCCTTGCCCCAGTTACCTTTTTCCTTATCTTCCTCACACTCTTCTGAGAGGGAAAAGTTATCCGTTTGTCAGTCAGGTGAAGCCTTGTGCTGAGAAGCATGTGGAATTTGTCCAGGCAGTAACAACTCACACTGGTTATTAGTTCAAAAGCAGGCTTTATGTTGCCATTTCCTTCAGTGATAAACCAAAGAACTGCACTTCCCTGTCATACGTGTGCTATTCTCAGATTTTCATAGTGATTGCTGCTGTAGAAATAAATGGATGTCTGCCAAACTACTTGCATAAACAGTCACTTTAACACTGGTGTATTTTAGTAAAGAAGGACAAACACAGTGGGGTGTGTTGTAGCGGTGCATAATAATTAATGCTGTACAAGTGTTAGAAGTAACATCTTGTAAGTGTGACGTTTAGGTGGGAAACCTAGATGGACTACTGGTTTCTCTGCTCTAACTCCACTTCCTTAGGTGAGGTCATGCCTGGGGTATGCTGAACTAGGCCTGTGGAGCAGCTGGGGCTCGAGCAAGGAGACTGGCAAGACTGTGTTGCCCTGAAACAGGTCCTACCTGATGGTTTGGATCTTTCTTTCAACATTGTTCCACTTAAAAACCAGGCCATGTTTAAGGAAAGAATTTTAATAATAAAAAGGGGCAGAGTCCATCCACCCATGGTCTCCTGGTAGTAGGTCTCTATCATGTGGTAACAACAGTGTTCTAAAACCAGAGGTGTTGCAGTAAAGTGTCACAGTGTAGGTCCAATTGAAGCTAACCTTAATCTTCTAACTGGCTTCTTGAGTAAGCCCTCTGGTAGCTGAGCAGGGTGCTGACACAGCCATGCCAGGGGGCAGAGTCAGAAAGTTTAAGGGATACGTGTACAGAAACATCAGTCACACCCTTTTCTACAGTGTTGATCCGTGCCCTGACACATGCACACTTCTTCCTTCAAGAGTTCCCCTGAGGAACACTGAAAGCCTTTCCTGCTGACTTTCTCCCTTTGGGGCACGGGAGGGAACTGACAGCTGAAAGTGCACAGAGAAACTTAAAAACACCTGGGCATCATGCTTGGGATACTGCAATTAAACCCAAATGTTCATTATGTCTTCTCGAAGGCCCAGAGCATATACATGCTGTCCCCTGCTCTTCTCTCTGCCTTCATATGAGACTTGAGGCAGGTTACGGTGTCTGTCCTCGACTTTACTGTCAGCAACCTACCTTCAGGTTGTATCCAAATCCTTTATTTGAAGCTCTGAAGTAAAAACTAAGTAACTCATAACACTTATCGACAGGTACAGCTTACCAGGGTAAAGCTTGACTGAACAGCAGATGCTTTCCAAAGGCTTGATCAAAACTTGAGCTATGCTTTCCCCGAAACAAAGACTTTCCCTCTCCTTCAGATGCCCTCAGATGTGCTTTTTCAAGAAATGCAGGGTACTCTGGATCCAAATAAAACCTCCCCTCTCTCATCCCACCAAAACAGTGGTAATAAGTATGTTCTTCCCTCAAGTGCAATGATAAAAGGACCGGTTCTCTTATGCTAGAGAGAATCTGAATCATTTAGTGTGCTGAGTACTTGGGTACAAAAATAGCTATACAAGGATTCCTATAAAATAGAGTTAGTTTTTAAAATACTGTATACATAACTAAGTCTGGGGCTAACTTTTAAGTGCAAAGAATGTAATTTGTAAAAAACTGGTCATCTTTCATTCTGTGTCAATATTGTCCTTTTCTATTACCTTCTTTAGTTACTTTTATCTGTTTTTTCCCCCTTTCTTTTCCTGCTTCTCTACTCTTTCTTTTGGTCAGGCACAGAAGAGAAGTACAGCAGGAGAAGAACCCTTTCCCAGTTTCTCCAGGCAGCAGTGCAGTCTTGTCTGTAGTTTAGCTGTCTCTGTGGTAGGGCCATTCTTGCTGATTCTGACTCTGTTAGCTTTATCTCTCATGCCCAGGGCCATGATTTGGCTGGTTTCTCTCCCTTCCTTTCTTCACCCACCCTGTATTCTTCCCAAGATGTCTATCACCCTGTTCAAGAGCTGCCTATGCAAGACAGGTTCTGTTGCATCTCTTCGTAAATGTCACAAAGTACACTCATCAAACCTGCAGAGCAGTCTGTTTTCACCTACTCAGGTGCTGCTTTGAAAGCTACTGGAAATGGGGGAAATTAGGTACCTTCCCCCCCCCTTTTTCAAGGCCCATTTTCTGTAGCACCTACAAAAAAACCCACTTAGTCACTGGCATTGTATATGTGTTTGAGTAATGCAGCTTCCCTTAGCAGATTTCTTGATGATTGCTTGCAAGAGACCAGCAACAGGGGTAAAATCTAAGAACAAAGCTACTGGGAGGCAGGGTGGGAAGAGAAGAGCTCCTCCTTTTTCCTAGTGCAAACAGCATGGCAGAATTGCCAGTTCAGAGACCATGGCTGCCTTCAGGTGTGACACTTAAAACGGTGTGATCCGCAACTGAGCCGAGTCAGGTTTGGCTCTACGTTGTTTGTTTGTTTGTTTCTTCTGCAATAAACAGCAGTTGGTATCTAACTGGCAAGACATGGTTTGTTCCCAACCTGAACAGCAGCTACACCGAGTTCTCCTGCCCATCATGTATCCAGGCAGAGTCCTGCTGGACTGTGTCTGTGTTCCAATTTCCTTAATATCAAAAGCAGAATTTGCCACTTAAAATACACCAGTGTGAAAATTCAACAAGATAATGAGTGCAGCAAATAGCTGTGGAGAAGTATTGCTTTTCCGCTGCTTGATTCTACCTGCCTTTTACCTGAGATTAGCTTGGTTGGTTAGAACATGATGCTGATAACACCAAGGTTGTGGGTTTGATCTCTGCAGGGGCCATTCCTTAAGAGTTGGACTCAATGATCCTCGTGTGTCCCTTCCAACTCAGAATGTTCTGTGCAGTATCTGTGAAAAAATTGTTCGTGTAATCTTAAAGCGAGGAGATGTGTATCTGCAACATCAGGTTCATCTGGTAATGCCACTCTGTGTTGCTCACTTTGGAAAAAATAATTCTTTGCAAAATTTCCAACTTAGTGGTGCAAGACTTGTTCTAAAAGATACTGAGATGCTGTAGCTCTGAAATAGGGCCTGCAGTGATTTACCAAGCTTTGTTCTTGGAGATAAAGTAGAAATAAATTATCTCTAGAGTACATCTAGTCGCACATCTTGGTTTGTTCCCATTCCAGGCAGGGCTTAGGAACCCTATAGTGCCCTTGAAGCATGGGTCACAGTGCAATGAAAAGTGCCTCTGGAAAGTATAGTCAAGTAAACACTGCTGTAGTGGCTTCTGGGGTAGAATAGGATTGATTGTTCATAACTCTGGGTCTGGAACTTGCCACTATTTTACCTGAAATCTGATAAAGGGAGATGTCCTGTCAGCTTTCACAAGTTATACAAACTTAGAAAAACAAAAATATGTGTTTAGCTTTTTTCCTACCACTGCCTTTCCTTGATTCAAAGTCTGCATCCAGATGGTTTTCCATGTCTTTTTCCAAAGTTTTATGTACACATTTGGTTTCCCCAGCATTAAAATAAAGCAGTGTAACAGGGAATATAACATAAGTGTCTATGGGGCCTCTTTGATCCTGTATTAAAGTTGACTTTCCATAAAAGAGGATCAATAAGAAAAGGCCTACTCTGGAATTATGGTAGGCTTCTCCTTTCTTTCTTTTGAACTATCACTACCAAGTGGTGATGCACAGCACTGACACTGCTGTACAGGACCCAAGGTTCCTTGGGCGTCAGTACAGAGCTGTAAATGTAGTGGGGCTGAGAAAACAGAGTGGGGTGTTCCCAAGCCCACATGATCTTTATCAGGTGCTTTTAGTTTTTGATAAGACTGTGCCTTATCCATGCAAGATTTAAGCAGTCTAGCTGATACAGTCACTTTCCCATTGTACAAAAAGCTCTAGTTGATCTGGGTTTAAAACCCTTATAAAAACCCTCCAGTGATTACTTTCATCTACAAAATTGCTTTAAATATATTTAGGGGAGAGCATAAAACAAACCAGTGTTGATTAGAATGCTTTTGTATGTCTTGTATGTCTGTGTAATCCAGTAAGAAAAACCTAGAAGTGTAAGGTGGTGGACCTTTTTTTATTATTTATTTTCTTCTTCTTCGTCTTCCGTAGCAGACTTAAAATAAAATCTTGTGGTTTTTTTTATACAGACTGTTGGGAGAGAAATACTGCTCCATTTGATAGACTTCCTGGTGACCAGCTATAGACAGGACCCAGTTATTACCCGGTTACTCAATAATACCCGGATTCATATCATGCCGACAATGAATCCTGATGGATTTGAAGCTACAAAAGTGCCTGACTGTTATTACACACGAGGAAGGTAAAGGTGGCTTATGAGGGTGGGAGAGGCAAAGGAAATGGGTGGGGAGCAATAATCGCAGATAGCCAAGAGGCTGAATCATACTTGGTGGAGAGGATAGTCTAGAAGATGTGTTAGGGCTAATTTTTTCCAGTGCCGTTCTCAAGACGCACTGTTACAACATAGAGTTTGTGAAGACTGAGTCAGACTGGTGTTTATATGTGGTGCGGCCAGAGAAAATTGGTCAGAATGGTGTAATGACCTCACCTTTTAGGCAGGAGACCCAGATTGCGAATACAAGCCCAATTCCCTATTTTGTAGCACCTTTAGGGTGCTACAAAAAAAAGGAAGGAAAACTCCACCCACAGGGATCTATTTTAGTTGGAGAACTTTGTAACCTTTCTTAACGAGACAAAGGGGTGCCTAAGCTTGTTGAATGGACTTCTAGCAGTGTGTTTAAAGATCATGTTGAATGCAGGTTAAGCAAGAGGGAGGAGTTATGCAGTGAGAGCTGGCTATAATAGGTAATAGTTGTACCTATAGTAGCACTAATAGTGGTACTAGGAAAAAAAACTAACACAGAAGAAAATGTAACCAACTTAGCATTGCATCCTGTGCTACTTTTGCTTTCTTTAATGTAACCATTACAGAGACCAAAAACGGGATGAAAAGCTTAACAAGCTAGAATAGGGAAAGAGTGAGAGAATGGGAAGAAAATGCCAAAGGGACAAAGTTGGAATGTGCAGAAAAAGCAAACTCATGAGCTAGAATTTCTCTTGGATCACTGGCCATGGCAACATCAGAAACAAGTGAAAAGGTAGTTTAGTTCTTTAGGTGACCAGTATAGATCATCCTTTTTATTAGGAAAGAAGTTTATTTCTCAGCAAATAGATGGGACTTGTATGGGGGGGCGGGGGGGTATATTTTATCCCCTCACTGTCAAATAGAGTTTAACTAACGAGTTTACAAATTAACACAATTGACGGCAGATACCCTTTTTACTTCTGTACTGACCTGTCTGAGCGAAAAAGCAAGTAAGCGTTTGTACAGGCTGGACCCTCAGGTTCAGGGAGCAGAGAATACATTCTAAGTTTGACTCAAATTTTTCCCTGTGCCCAGAGATACGGCAGTACAAGGGACACAGCCATTCAGTAGTTCCCTTGGTCCTCTATGCAAGTGGGAAAAACACATACAGAAGGGCAATGTCCTCCTGATCTGGCTCTGGTTTTTCTAATTCACATGTATGTCGCTGTGTGCATGCTATACGCATATATGCACTGTTTTCACTTGAAATACGAAAGAAGAGTTGTTTTATTGTGTCCTATGAAAATTCCAGTGCTGCTAGAAATCAAGCTGAAGTCTATCATCTTAATACTTCAGAAATAAGAAATGGTCATCTCATTTGTTTCCTGAAGACACTACCATGCCACAGATCTAGAGTACCTGGGAGGCTGGTGAGCTGGAAGTGTCCACAGGCAAAACAGTAAAGCGAATGTCTTCTCTCTAAGGTACAACAAGAATGGAGAAGATCTGAACAGAAATTTTCCTGATGCCTTTGAAAATAACAACGCTAGCATTCAGCCAGAGACTCAAGCAGTAATGAACTGGATAAAAAATGAAACGTTTGTTCTTTCAGCGAACTTGCATGGGGGTGCCCTGGTTGCCAGTTACACCTTTGATAATGGTAACTCAGGTAAGCTAATAACAAATTCTCTTCTCCACAGCTGATTTGGTTTAGGAACATTAGCTGTACCAAAGCAAAATTTCTAAGGATTCCTGCAAGGTTATTCTAGCTTTCGAGTTGGGATGGGCAGAATTTGATTAGCCCCATAAAAATTCACTGCCTAATATAGCTATTTGGGAGATGTTTCTCCTGTGTATAAGCCAGCACTGTATGTTTCATCAGTAATGAGAGTTACACAATCGCTGTCTTCATTCTGTAGTTACTGGCTCTTCGAAAGGCTATAGCAGATCTCCAGATGATGATGTCTTTATTCACCTGGCAAAAACCTATTCTTCCCACCATGCCAGCATGTACAAAGGGATTGGGTGTGACAACAGACAAACCTTTCCAGAAGGCATTACCAACGGATACTCTTGGTACCAGCTGGAAGGTAAGAATACCAGTGATATCTTATTCAGCTGCTTCTGATATGATGTTCTTACTTTCTCCTGCCATCTTTGATGGTGAAAGGGCAGTGATTTTACGCAGAGTAGAGGGCTGATGAGGGGTGTAGGCCAACTCACACAGATTCTCTGAACAGGACCTAGGTGTTTGCAGATTCTCCCAGCCAGCAATTACACAAGTGAATGAGGCACTCACTGCTGTTTGGCTGCTTCTGTGCCCATGCTTAATGCCTGCAATAGCTGTATAGATTATACAAACATGCACACGCTCCTTGGCACCAAGATCTTGTCCTTTAAGAAGGAAAACCAATCTCCTGTTCATATATCATCCTTTTTAATTGTTTGATCACTGAAATAAATGTTTTCATTACTGTTTATGTGTAGCCAAATAGAATATGGGCCCTGTGTGCTGTGGCATTGTGTGTTGCTTTCACCATCTGAATTCAAAGACATAAAAGGCTCTTGGAATGGCTTCGGCAAACCGATGAATTTATCTGCTGCAAGTTAGTTGGAAATGCTTGAATGAATTTCAGTCAAAGATCCACCCTTTCTCAGCCAGAATCATCATCATTCCCAAAATGCCACTGTGCTTTAGAAAACCCCACTCTGTGTTTAACTAGAGTAATTAAGTCTGTTTTCCATAGGAGGCAGTAAATACAAGTGTGGCATCAAGGAATAATTTATCTGATTTACTTTTCTTACTGGTACAATGCAAGGACCAACATTTTAACTCTTTTATTTGTCTTTTACTTTGAACTTAGCGCTTCTTTGTAGCTGAACACTCTCTTATTTCACTTTTAAGGTGGAATGCAAGATTACAACTATGTCTGGGGACAATGTTTTGAAATTACATTGGAGCTGTCATGCTGTAAATATCCTCCAGCAGACCAGCTGGAAAAGTTCTGGAGAGACAACAGAGTTGCTCTGATTGAATATATAAAACAAGTACACCTAGGTGGGTATGTGAATGGGGATGGGAACTGAAGCTGAGGCCAGGTTAGAGGGAACTCTTCAGCAGCCTGGGACAGTGTCACAGCTCACAGCAGGAGGAGCTCTGGTGTGAACTTGGGAGCTTCTGAACATGAAGTGCTACAAGGCCAGGGATGGGTAAGGGAGGAGAACTCAGGCATGTCAGGTTAGGGGCAATGGGTGCTTCTACAGTAGTGCAAGGGGCTTAAAATGTGCTGGGGCAGGAGCAAGGGACAGGCCCTAGGCACTGTCTGACCATACACCCCCCTCATGGACTCTGCTTTCCTGAGCAGCCTTGGGGCAGTCATTTATTTTAGAGGTGTATGAGTGCCTGAGCATAAGTTCCATGGGTCTTCTGCTACTTGGATTTCGTATTTTTGAAAGGTTTTTCTAGGTGTGACCCGGCTTTGCAGTTGGAGGAAAGCTGCTGCTTAATGAAGCAGTGCTGCTTTTTAATGAGTTGAAGGGCTTGCACAAATCTGTTGCTTTTCTTGCACTTTGTTGCTCAAAATATCTTTTTTATCTCTGCCTAGTGCCAGTGCTGCCTTAAGAATGGTGTGTGAGAATTAAGGGAAAGTCCTTCATAATCAGACATTGTTGCTATTCTGCCTTTGGGAACAACTAGAGAACAGGCTGACTTATTTTAAATTACAAAAAAAAGAAGGGAAGGGTGTGTGCAAAAAAATGTCAAAGCAGTACTGAAGATTGAGGCCCTTCAGTAAAATATACATACAATAAGTGTATATGATGCCTTCAGCAAATGAGATTTAGGAGATTATATTGCTGCTTTCTAGCTTAACATGAGGGTAAACTATTAAAAACAACAACCAGGGATATTCTGGTTTAATTCCTTTCAGTGAGACAGAAGTGACTAGTGATACTATTAGATGTGCTCAGAGTCAGTGAAATAGCCTTTGAGAGCACCCAGCAAGAGAACAGTCTGACTTTCTTGGAGGAGGCAGCTCACTACAGTTACAGGTCGTGATCTCTCTCCTCTCTTTTTCACAGGTGTCAAGGGTCAAGTTACTGATAAGAATGGGAATCCTATTCCCAATGCCATCGTGGAAGCCAAAGGAAGGCCTCATATCTGCCCCTACAGAACAAATGAACAAGGGGAGTACTATCTTCTCCTTTTGCCTGGGACGTATGTGATCAATGTAAGTGTGCAGCCTTACTAAATTATTGTTCCTAATTGCCTTGAATTCCTGAGCACAGTGAGAAGGCATCCTTAGAGATGAGTGAGCTGAACTGCTCGAGTCACGTGTAGGAGTTGTAAAGACTCTTTAGCAGATTTAAAAGAAAATAGTCTCTTTAAATGTGAGTTGGCAGAAAGGAAATTTTTCGATACAGTAACATCTCAAGTCCTCAATGTCCAGAGATAAGCACCCATCTGACCTTGACGGTGGAGCCAGCGGGGATGAGTGTCTGGAGCACATCGACTCGAGCTTGAGGTGTTTGTTTGAAACAAACCACAGAGCTCTCAGGGTGAGGAGTTGGAGCCTGGGATCAGGGCTGACACCACCACTGGTGACACTTATTTCCTTGTGTCTAAATGATTTCTCCACGGGAAGTGTTGGAGAACATCCATGCAGTGCAGGCTCTGCCTGCTGCCAGCTGAGGGCTTACACTTGAGCAGCATTGCAGGATTCCCTCTCTTGTACAAGTCTTATTGCTATAAAATGGAAACTTTATCCTTTTTTCACCCCATGTTCCCAAATGTATATTTAGAACATTTTTTCTTGTACATTTAAAGTGTAAACAAGCACATTAGACACTGGTTGTTTTGCAGCTGAACTCATTGTTTCAAACCAAGTAAAACACTTTTGTGTTTGCTCCTAGGCTACTGTACCAGGATTTAAATCGATGCTGAAGACAGTGGAAATACCTGACAACACTGGTAACTTCAGTGCTTTAAAACAGGACTTCTCTTTCCCAGAGGTCTCTATCAGACCAAGAGTTCCTTCATGTCCCAAAATTCCCCTCTATCAAGAGCTCACACGGGCTTCAGCTGCAGTAAAACCAACCCTACATGTCTTGGCTTTAATGACTGCTCTGCTTGTAATTTTTAAATAAAGTCAGGAATGAGATGTCATGGCCAGGCAAAATCCACTAGCACAAATCTGGCTTTGCAGACAAGAAATTGTATATGCAAAAGAATGTCTGTTTTTATAAACCAAATTCTCAGATTCACAATCATGTTCACTGTATTTTGTAAAATACTGGGTTGACAATCGAATGCTTTACTTTGACTATATTTTTAATTGTAATAGACTATCATATTTTTCTACATATTTTACTCTGAAGAAATTTTGTACAGCCAATGGAGATAACTGTGGAATTTCAATGCAGAAAGTACAAATACATTCTAAAGACTTGGCCTGAATTCAAAAAAAGTTGAGGATTGTACTGCAAATGTTTTATGCAAGCTCAGGTTTCTCTCTGAACCAACAGCTAAGGTGCCACACAACTGTAAGTGATCAGATCAATCCTATTTTCTCCAATAATAGCAATAAAGCCATTGCTATAAATGAGGAATGGCATTTAAAATATGCTTTTTTCTTACTTGGACAGATGAGACTGCTTAGGGCTTAAATGAGGTAAAGAAAAGTAACACAGGTTTTAAGACAAAAGGATGGAAACGAAGTGTAAGTATGTGCTGAAGTGCCACGCTCCTGGAAGCTGGATTATAATCTGCACCATCAGGGAGAAGGGAGGAATTTGTCTCTGAAAACAGTGTTCTACAGCAGAGCTGCTGAAAACAATGTGGGAACAGTCACTGACAGCTTTATACCTTGTCCATTTTTAACTGAATTTGGTGTTGAACAGAACCACCGACAATTCAGATTCTTTGAATAGCTTTAGCAATGGCTTTATATTGCTTCAGTAGCTTCAGAGCCCTGCTACTACGCTGTTGGGACTAACACACATGCCAGGAGCTGGCAGGCACTCTTAGGAAGGCATAAACCAGTTCCTGTTACAGAGGCTGGTTTCAGCACTCCTCTGGCTGGGCTGGGCTGTACAGCAGACAGGATTAGGAGATTCCTTTTGCCTGGCCAGTTACAAATCATTGTCAGGGCTCTTTGAAGCTGTCCAATAAACACAAAATTTATCAAGAAAAGCCAGTTCGTACCATCTCCTGTGTTTATTTTAAAATGTTATCTGCCAGTAATTTTCTTACGCAATTTCAAAAGTAAACCAGAAGAGATTATCTTTGGAAACATCAATCTTTTCCTGTATACAGTAAATAAAAAATGCAGGAATGCAGTTAATCCCTTAATGCCTTTTAAAATCTTTCCTGAGGCACTGCTGTCTGTCACACCAGGCCCCACCAGCTGGGCTGTGGAGCTTGGGCATCAGCCACTTACCTGTCTGCCAGCCAGCTGCATTCAGTGTGCGAATGCACTTCAGAACATGAAACAGCATTGCTGATTGAGAATGAGGGCTGCATGTGCAAGGTACTGGTTTTTTAATGTATTCATCATATCCATTTGAATTTTCTATCTTTTCTCACCCTCTGATCTGCTGTGGCTTGTTTACCGCTCAGAGAAGTAAGTAATTATCCACGAAGTCCCACCACTGATAGTTGGTTCTGGTCTGTCACTTATAGCAGAAAGAACTAGAAATGCCTTTAGTGTAAAATCCCCAAAACACAAGGAATCTGGGAGAAGTCAGCAGTTCCAGCAGGTGAGTGAGGGCAGCAAGGGTGTGCATGCTGGCTTACAGGGACAAGAATCTGTATGAAAACCAAGTACCAGAACTTCTAACAATCAAGTCATTGACATGAAAAAAGAGCGAACACCAAAGAGTATATAAAGAAATCTTTATTTAAAGCTTTTAAATGGAACACAGTACTCAGTTTCCCTAGAAAAGGAACAACTGAAAACCAAAAGATAAATGCAACATGCATGAAAGTTCTCACAAAGGGATCTATGCACTGTGCAAGTGGAGTGGATACTTGTATTTCAATGGTTACTGATTGTGGTTGTACGTGCACTGGGTAGCCAGAAGGTACACACCATTACAAGCTCTTGAAAGCGTGTTCATCTAGGAATAGTGGCAATATTGCATAGTTACTTCAATTCACTATGAACTACTCTGTTTAACAGTCATTCCAGCTATATGTAGTCAGACAACAAAGATTTTGGTTTTAGAAAAGCTATTGGTATTTTAGGTGTTAAGTAATCATCATGTAGATAGCCAATAATTTGGCTCACAACCAAGAACTGTCCTTTAAAATCAGGCTGTTAAGCTAAAGCAACGTTTACTCAAAAGGTGAAACAACCCCTTTTAAGTATCATCAACAAATTTTACATGTAGAATACAGAAACAGATACACTAGAGAGGCATTCACTTGAAGCTTTCAGTGTACCTGTGCTAGAAATAATAAAAATAAAGAAAGGGACACACTATAGTTAAAAGCAACAATTTTTCATGTTCACTAAGTGCAATTTTAACATTGTTAAAAGACACCTTAAGCCTAGGTTTTGTTTTGCTCGTGCAACCTTTAAACAACAACTCAAGATAAGCCTTTAACTCAGGTATGGAGTGCCAGAAAAGCCCCCGTAGCTGGGCAGGTAATCCCCCGGGAGAGACAGACCCTGCCAGCCAGAGGGCTGATACTCCAGCAAAGCAGTCCCTGTGTGAGCTGGCGCGGGGTGTGCAGGAGAGCACAAGTGTAACTACACTATGGAATGGGCTTCAGCAAGTACAGAAGTGACCCTGCAGCCCCTCCACGCTGCACCCACTTGCTGGCCCTGAGAAGGACCATGAGAGCAGCTGACAGAGCTCAGCACAGGGATGAGCTCTGCCTGTCCATCAGTCCGTGCACACGTCCAACGCTCCATCACACAGGGAAACGCCTCAACAGCAAATGCCCCTTTTCAGGCAAAGCGTTGCACAACAAGGTGCTGTAGGGTAAAGGAAAACTGCTGCCCCACAATATGTGTGGCAAGTTAACATTCTCGTTAAATTGCCTGCTTTAAAATTATCAACTCTAAAGTTACACCTTAACACAAGAGCAGCTGTACATTAAGATGGCAAAGAAAAGTTCTTCATTGCTGTATTCATCCTAATTATTAATTTGCTTTATTCAGTTTCATCATGCTTCTAATAATTTTCTAATCTCTCTTTTATAAGACAATTTTCGGAAACAATTATTCTTGACGCTTTCTGTAAGAATGAGGAATTATTTTCCCCTCAACGTAGTCATTAAAAGGAAAAAAGTCTGCCTGAAATCTTGCATGTGGCTTCATGCCCACACAGACACTACAGAGACAGCGACACTGGAACAAATTTACAGCAAACAGAACTCAGTGATAAAAATCGTACCACACTTTCACAACAAATGTAACGCTTTTCACCAATTAACATTTTGAAGCACTTTTACCCTTTCTGAATCAACCTGCTGATGGGAGCAGTGCAGCACAGCACTCGTGGCACACATTTCTGCCCACGTGCTCCTTAGGAACACAAACACAACTCAAGGGGTGCTGCTCAACAAAAAGCATCACCCTGCAGTGTGAACGTTCAATACAACCACCCACGCAGCTACTTCGGTTTCAGCCTCAAGTATCTCACTTTGCACTTCACTTCCTTGGGTCAAGAGTTGAATTTCAATACTAACAAATAGGTACATAGTTGTATTTAAACAATAAGTAGGTTTATCGTACTTTATAAAAAAAAGAAATGAGAGTTCTCGCACCATTTATATATTACTATTGTCTACCTGATGGGCAAAAAGGAAGAGACTAAGACAATTACTGAAAATTACTGAAAACAAACTCCATCAAAATATTCTCACCGTGCTCATGTTGCACCAGCTCCATCTCTAATAAATGTTCGAGTGCAACGCAGGAGTTGTTTTAAGGGAAGAAAAAAAGAAAGCAAAGCCATAAATCTTTCTGTGCCCTTCTTAATCTGAATAAAATCCGAATATTTCTCTGTATTTTAATGCTACATTTCTTAAATATTTTTCTTGAGATTTACTTAAGTAAGCATATTTATATGACTATGCATATACCAGTAGACTAATTCAATAAATTAAAACTCAAAACATTAACTGTGAGCACAAGAATATTTACAAATGGCAATAAATTAAAGATTAAAACATGTGCGATATTAAATAAGGATCTCAAACACCAAAGTAACAACAACTGTCAACTTTTGTACCAAAATTTTACTGACTTTTGTGCCTCTGCCCAAGGCCAGCAATGTGCTTACAGGCCAGAATGAACAGGGTGGTCACTGCTCATGCCCTCTGGAGGCAGAGCCGAGGGCTCCAGCGTGGAGTCAGGGCCACAGAACTGGGGTCTTTGTGTCACCTACACACCCCTGGGCCCCAAGCACGCGCTCGGCTGCGTGTCCCCAAGAGGAACCAGGACACCAGTACTCATCACTCCCTGATTCCTAAGGCATGCACCCAAACCAAGCAAACTCTAGTTGTACTAGAGGTCATTAAGCACAATATTAAGCCAGAAAATCTGACTCGAAGCAAAAAGATTTGACATAGTGATTTGCAGATGCAGAAATCAAAATTGCCCATTTCCTCATCACTGCGTGGATTGGAGGTTATTTCCAGGGCTGTTCTCCACAACAGAAGAATACGTGAGGGAAGTTAAATTTTAAAGCATAAAAGAAATTATGCTGTATGCTCCCAGTCTATCTTTTGCCAAAACAGAAAATGTTACAGGGAAATTGCTTCTGAAGAATAAACCTAAAGGTGAGTGACTGTGAACAGCAAAAATCACCACTCTGGCTATACATGCCTTTCTGAGAGATGAATTTTTTTTTTTTTTTTTTAAAGTACGGAGATCACTTAAGGGGATTGACTGGAATAGAATAACAAGAGTGGGATGGTACAATTTGCCCCAGTAGGAACTGGGCAAGGGCAGCTGCTCCCCCTGCGTGGCAGTTACACAGCCATGGTAGTGACTGCAGAGAAGGGATCATGCTGAGAAACCTAAGACATGGGAGACAGTGTAATGGACAAAGGTTTATACAAATTAAGCTTTTTAAGTACAGTCCCCATGTTACTGATCCTTCTGCATATAGATCTCTACAGTTTTCTCTCAGCTGCAAATCCCAGACCACAACAAGAGCACTGTCTGGTCTCACCTGCAGGTGCAATGAAGAGCCTAAAGCCTCAATGCAGCTAAATTTATAGAATCAAAAATTAAGAAAAATTAATAGGAAGTGTAAATTAAGGCAAGTAGCCCTCTATTAGCATCTCTACTTGAAAAAATTAAATATCAACCCAAAGGCCTTCTCTGTCTCAGGCTGAAGGATTATCAAATCCCATAAAACCTGTGAAGGGTTTCTGCTGACCAAAAGTCTTCCAAGAACTTCCAGCTACCTGCTGTTGCTTTACAAATGCAACAGGCAAGAAATATGCAAGTAAGAATCTGACAAAACGTATACAACTGGGGGTTATATAATATTGAACTGCTAGAACTTCAGACACACCAGGATCTTTTAGTGGTATTTAAAAAAAAAATAGTTCAAATGTATGAACAAAATGTGACTGATCCCAATAATTCAGACTTTACCTATGGAGGTATTTCTCTGCAGGCAAGCCACAACCAAGGATTTACCAAGTGTCTCCTGTACATCTTTATGCCCTTCTCCAGGTGTTTGCAGCCTTGGAGGTAACGATAGCAGGTAAAGTCTTTGCATCAGCACACACGCATCAGCAATGGTTCTGGAAAGCTATTGAACCTTGGCCTGCAGGATGGTAACGCAATGCAACTTATTCATTTAGGCTACATCTCCATTCTTGGAACTCCCCTGACTGCTTATTTGCCATTCCCCGTTGGGCAGGTGATTAGCAACTACCTGTAAAAATAAAAGGTGCTAAAATCATACAATTCCTCTTGTAATCTAGTTTTGCAAAGGAATAAATATCTCTCACTGGTACAGAAACTCTCCATGTGAAATACAGCCGAGTGATCTTTACCGTATCCCACAGGAAGATACTGGAGCTTACAAAGGCTCCACGGAACTACCCCAAACACCCCTCATACCCGAGTCCGTCAGCAGAGCCCTTGAGAATGGAACTGGTAAGTTTTTGACAAAGTACAGTGACGGACAAGAGCTAAAAGCAGTAAAGGACAAGTCCCAGGAGACCAATTTTGAGTTCACCAAACACCCTGCAATGGATTTTCAGAATTCTTGTGATACAGACAAGAACAGTTTGACTTGGAAAGACTACTGAATTTAAAGAACATCTATGTGAACTAGAACTGCACAGCTTATTTGTTTCTGCAGATGAAGGTGGACTTTTCTTACTGTTTTTATTCCAGTGAATGTTCTGCTGAAGTTAAAAACAAGTGCAGAAAATGATTCCCCTAATATTGCCCGATGATACAATACACAGCATCTCCTCCTTCATTTATCTTGCCTGTTCAAGTCTTCTCTCATGCTGCTAAATTAGTAATAACAATCATACTTGGGGTAGTACAGACCTGCAAACTCACAAAGCATTTAAAATGTCAGTTTCTTAAGACACTTAAGAGAGAACTGTATGACTGAACTTAGATCAATGACTTCTTAGGGGGACACACAGCCCTGAAGTTTATTTGTATAGCGTGCATTGCAAAAGACATACAACACCCTTCTCTTTTTCCAAAGCCTTAAATTATTCTCTATCACATTTTTCTCCACTTCCTGGTGAGATCTCCCCCATAATTTGGCTACCTGGAGGAATTTAAGACAAGACTTATTTATTTTATTGACTTATTCAGTGTGGGCTGATTGAGCCTGGTGTCTTCACTAGGCAACAAATACTGCAACCTGGAGAATCTTCTACCTTCTCAAGATGAGGAACTCGCATGAGTGACTGCTTCAACATGTGTCTCCTCTCACAATCACTGAACTGGGATTTTTAATGTGTGTATTTGATCCAGTAAAAGAAATGTCACTAACTTGCATGGAACATTAAACACCTGGAGAGGCAGGTGATTTACAGAACTTGGTTATTTCTACAGACAAGGATTCAAAATCTCCAGGTTGATTTATAACTATTGTGCGAACCTCTGAACAACTCCAGTGCATTTATGCCAACAATTATTTTTCATACCAAACGTAAAGAGATCCAAAATACTAATTTTTCAATAAGCATACAAAAATAGTTTCTCTCGCAGCTTTCCAGTCAACATCCAACTAACTAAAATAAGTTAGTACAATCATTTGTATGGGCTGCCTGCACACCGGGCAGGGTTTGTTCCTCTTCTTAAGCTTTTTCGCGCATGTAAAACATGACATGAGGTGTCCCGTTTTGCCGTGTACTATGCAGCCATTTTTAGGTCTGCTCTGACATATGACACAGGGCTCTATGCTGGTAACAGGCAGACAGGATTCCATGCTTTCCTCTTTGTCTTGCATTTCTCTCTTCTCAGGTTCCTTATAGTCCTCCTGACTGCTACAAAACATGCTGCTTGATGTTGACGGCTGGGAATAATCTTCACTTTCCTGGGACTCGGAAATTTGTACTGCCTTCTCCTCATTCTCATTCAGAGCTGGTTCTTTATCTTCAGTCATTTTTGTTTTCTTGCAGTCAGGAACATCAAAACCTTCTTCAGACTCTGCAGGGAAGGGACCTTCTGATTTGCTCTTTTCCAATTTCTCACTTTTTTCATCTGGAAGCCAATCCTCACGTAGGGCCCAGCATCTGTGGCAATGTCGTGGAAGCGGAGGATTCATTTCGCTACATTCAGGACACTTCCAGTAATCCTTTAGTGAATTAAAGGTTGGAATAGCTTAAGCTACTTGGAACACTTACAATTGAAGTATTCAGAGATTGTAAACAATTTACTAGTGTCAAAATAATAATTATGTTGAGCTACTGACTTGCTTATAATTTTAAAATGCCATTCAGTGTTTGGCCCCATTTTACAGTTCTAGATTATGATAGTTCTTATTTTAAAACAACTCTGATTTTCTTTCCTTTTGCAGTAGGTTTTTGACTAGAACAATAACAATTTACTATTTTTTAAGCAAAACTGCAGAAGCCAGACCACAAAAATCTTCAAAGAATCTCACGAGAAACTTCTAATAAAATGGTCACCATTCCCCCTCTTTTTGAGAACCGAATTCTGAAATGGGAGCTACTTAAGACTGAAGGGACCTTTCACCCGTGGGA